GAGTTTGATATGAGAAGTGGGATACTGGGGGATTTTTGTTGCCTTACATGCTTTTGATCTCATTCTCAGTTGCTGATTTGTTGATTTTAATTTGATTGTGTGGAGTTTGTGACACAATGATGTGGGCTTTGGCTGAAAGATTGGGTTGAATCTGTCTGATTGTTGTGATTGACTGTGTTATTGGGCTGGTCCATTGATTAAAACGTGTTTCTGTTAATTGATTTTAGCTGGATACGTTTTACTTAAATGGATGATGGAGATGTTACCAAGTGCAATCACCACATCCGTTGGATGAAGGGCACTTCTGGAGACTTCCTTATATTCTAGGTTTTGAGATCTTTGGACGATTCATTTTCTCATTACTCACTCTCTCGAACTCTCTCTATAATGTTTACGCCGTTCTTCCTTCTTGCACTCTGAGAGTAATTCTCCTGTAAATCGAAGTGTAGTATAGCTTGCTTACATCTCTTGAGTGACTTGTAGTAAGGCTGATTTGTATCCTTGTGTGGATTCAGTGTCAATTTGTGAGGGTTTCATTACTTTGAAGAGATCTTGAGTGATTTTGTCTGAGTGCCTTTGTGTAACGATGAACTGGCTTTGATCCTTAGTTTTATATAGTGATTTCTTCCGATTGGCGGAAGCGCAAAAGGGGAGTAGGATTTATCCGAACCTCTTGCCTTAGGGTGAAAAATCCTTGTGTTCTTTTACTGTTTATTATTTTCTTGCACTTTACTTTTGTTGATAGTATGTTTAGACAGGTGATCTGTGGCTTTTAATCTCTACAGTGGTATCAGAGCTTCAGGTGGTGGTTCTTGGCTCTCGATCTGTACAGACATTAACCTGCTTTCTTTGATTCATGTGGCGATATAGTTTCTTGAAACTATAACTTAGGACCTTTGGTGAGTTCGTTCTGGTTTTGTATAAGTGCACTGATCTGTTGCTTATACTGTTATTGTGAACCTAAATAAGTTTGTTAAACTGAGTTTAAGACTCTGCTTGGCAATACCTTTGTCCATAAACCCTTGAGTTGTCTGGAATCTGAGGGTTGCCTTGCTCTTTCGAATCAAGAACCTAGATTCAAGAACTCTGCATGTGTCCTTTAATTCAGTATAATGCTGCTATGATGATCTATGCTATTTCTTGTAAGTTGTTACAATAGCTCTTGAATGTCCTTACCTGAAGATTGAACATGTGAATCATTGTACATTGTATATACATTCTGTTGGGTGTATAATTCATGTTTTACTTGTCTATTGAGTGGTGATATTTGAATTATTACCTGATTGTGTATACTCTTGGCATGCTCTGCCTGATCTGCATTAATTAGCCACTCATTCACATTTTATTATGCCTTCTTCTAAATTTGAATTGGAAGTTTATAATGGCAAATGAGACTTTAGTCTTTGGCGTCAGAAAATAAAAGCTCTTTTACTTCAACAAAAGTGTGCTAAAGCCATTGATAAATCATGACCTACTGATTACAAAATGAATTTAACAAAATTACCTTGAGTAGAAAACTTTTACAGATTAAACTATTTCCTTTTCTTTCTGGCTCCGATGGAAACTAGTAAAGTTACAGAACAAGCTGAAATTGCATGGAGTTCTATTTTTTTTGTACTTGTCTGATAATGTGCTTAGAGAAGTAGGAGAAACAAAAACTGTTGCTGAATTGTGGAAAAAATTGGAGACTACTTATTTGAATAAAACTATGCCTCATAAAGTCTTCCTCCTAAAATAGTTTTTTTGTTTTAAACTTGATCCATCTCTTAACCTTGATTCTAATATTGATAGATTCAATTGGTTAACTCGCGACCTAGCCAACTGTGATGAGAAACTCTCAAGTGGACAGTTGGCTGTGGTTCTACTAAATTCAATAAGTGATAAGTATAAAGATGTTAAAAGTGCTATTGAATATAGTAGAGACAATCTAACTCCTGAGGTTATCATTAATGCTCTAAGAACTAAGGTGATAGAGTTAAAATCTGATCGAAAAGAGTCTTCTAGTGGTATGAATTTGATGGTTAAGTTTAAGTTTAATCCTAAAAACAATTTTGCCAATAAAAAATTGGGTCATAAGAAGAAAGGGAATCAAAAAGATAAAATGAAAGTTAAAGGTAAAAATGTTTTTACTGATAGAGGAAGGTAATTTTATCGTAGATTATCCCAAGAGGCTTAGTGATAATATAAATAAGTCTAAAAGTGATAATGACATAGCTCTGGTCTGCAATAATGAAACTGGTATTGATGAAGTCTATGTTGTTGTTGTTGTTGCTCATCAGCCTAATCAAGAGTTGATTCTTGACTCAGGCTGTACCTATCACATGTGTCCTAATAAAGATTGGTTTTTTGATTTTGAAAATGTAAATGGTGGTCAAGTTTTAATGGGTAATCATATGACATGTCAAGTTAAGGGCATAGGAACTATCACCTTAAGGTTAAATGATAAAAAATTTGCTTGTCTTAGAAAAGACCAGATATGTTCTTGATCTTCAAAGAAATTTGATTTCTTTAGGTATGTTAAATGACCTAAACTGTGACATATTGATTAATGTGGTATACATTAAAATCTTGAGGAATTCACACTTGATAGTGGAAGCTTCCAAGAGACATGGACTTTACATTTTGCAAACTCAAAACATTTTTGATTTCACTTCTGCAGTACTTTCTGTTTCAAGTGATACGTCACAAATATGGCATAAGAGATTGGGTCATATTAGTGATAAAGGGTTGCAGATTTTGAAAAAATAAGGTGCCTTTAGAAAGGACTGCATTGAAAAACTCAGCTTTTGTGACTACTGCATTTTAGGAAAGCATAATAGATTACTATTTTGCCTGGAATGTATAAATTTGTGTCCATTCTTGAATACTTGCATGCTGATCTTTGGGGACCAGCTAATGTGCCTACTCATATTGGTTTTAAATACTTCCTGTTAATCATTGATGATTTTTTAAGAAAGAATTGAATATTTCTGTTGAAATCAAAATCTGATACATTTACTGCTTTTAAAGATTGGAAGACTTTGATTGAAAACTAAACTGATAAAAGAGTAAAAGTATTAAAGACTGATAATAGACTTGAATTTTGCAATTATGAGTTTGATGATTTGTGTAAATTGCATGGTATATTGAGACACAGAACAGTTACACACACTCCACAACAAAATGATTTAGCTGAAAGAATGAATAGAACTTTGCTTGATAAAATTATATGCTTGCTCTTAAGTTCTGGTCTTCCCAATCTATTTTGAGAGGAAGCTACAAAAACTGCTAGTTATCTGATCAATGGGAGTCCTGCCAGTGCTATACATTTTAAGACCCCTAAAGAAATGTGGGATGGAAGACCTGTTGACCTTAGAAATTTAAGAGTGTTTGGGTGTGCAGCCTTTGCACATCAATATGAATGAAAATTAGATCCTAGGGCTCTTAAGTGTGTCTTCCTGGGTTATGGAGAAGGGGTAAAAGGGTATAGACTATGGGTGAGAGAAACAAGAGGATATAAAATCATTGTGAGTAGAAATGTGGCGTTCAATGAGAATGATTTACCTTGCTTGAAATCTGATAGCAGTTCTGGCCCTTTAAATGAGAGGGAGTCTGAAATTGAGGTGGAGCATGTTGAGGATGATAATCAATCACCTAATATTCAGACTGGAGAGGTTGAAGCTGATACTGATGTTGAACCTTATAGGACTGATGAGGCTGAACAGGTTAATACTGATTTAAAGACTAATCAGGCCTTAGGTGATTATCAACTAGCTCGAGATAGGCAAAGGAGACAAGTTAGACCACCTGTGAGGTTTGATGATGAAGTTTCTTTGCTTACTGTTCAAGGTTTTATTGAAAATGAACCTGTGACATATGATGAGGCTGTTAGTAACAAAGATTCCATGCATTGGCTTGAGGCAATGCAAGATGAGATGGAATCCCTTAAGAAGAATAAAACATAAGTGTTGACTAGTAGATCTAAAGGGAAAAGGGTTGTGAATTGTAAATGAATCTTTAAGATAATAAGAGGGGAACAAAGTGAGAATGACATTAGATACAAAGCTAGACTAGTGTCTAAGGGCTTTACTCAAAAGGAGGGAATAGATTTTAATGAAATATTTTCTCCAATTGTAAAATTTACAACTGTCAGAGTGATTCTAGCCTTAGCAGCTCAGTTTAATTGGGAATTGGATCAATTGAATGTCAAAACTGCATTTTTAAATGGAGATTTTGAAGAAACTATTTTCATGGAACAACCAAAAGGTTTTGAAATAAATAAAAATTCTGACCTTGTACGCCTTCTTAAAAAATCCTTATATGGCTTAAAACAAGCTCCAAGACAATGGTACAAGAGATTTGATATCTTTGTTCTTGGACTTAGTTTCAAAAGAAGTAATTTTGATACTTGTCTTTATTGTAAAGGAAATGGTGGTGAAAATTCACTATATCTTCTTCTTTATGTTGATGACATGCTCTTAGCTAATCATGAGATAAATGATATCTAGTTGTAATAAGTTTTATCTTTTTATTCTAATATTTTGCTTAGAATATAATTTCTTTTCTTTATTGATTAGAATAGGATTTATAATTTATTTTAAATTAGGATTTTAGTTTATTTCCTTTTAGAATTTAATTTCCTTATATTAATAGAATTAATGAATAGTTTTGCCTATAAATACAAAGACATTGTACATTTTTTCAACAACAATAAATTATTATTCAATATATATACAAGACAAGATTTTTCAAATATCATTTTTATTTATTACATAGTTCTTATTGCAAGAATTTCATAAACGCTTCCGCATCGGCCACCAGACACATCTTCTAATAAGAATCAAACTCAAGCTGATCCAGTTACTTATTACAGTTCCTAGAAGTTCAATAAAATCTTTCCAAGTATACATTGTCATAGGACAATATGATCCTTGTCAATGAACGAAAGAAATGTTAATATATAGCAAAAGACTAATTAATTCAGCTGAATAACAAGATATGAATAAGCTAGAGAAATGTGTCTAGGAAGTGTCATAACAAAAAATTATCATACCTACGGAAGGATCAGGTAGCTTGCTCAAAGCAGCAATATGACCATCTACTAAATCCACCACATGAAACACTGTTAATGCAGGTCTCCTGCCAACGGCCACTTGTTGAACAAAGGGCATGAGATTATTTGGAATTCTACGAGGATCTTCACCAATATAGCCACTAGGATGGCACCCACTGGATTGAAATATCTCAGCATTATGATTTTCCCTTCAGAGTCAGACTTGTAAATATCACGGCACATTTCTTCAATAAAAAGCTGGATAAATCAATATCAGGTGAACGAGTAGAATTCGTAAGCAACTCAAAAGGGCAAGGGTAAAAATTCATCACACAGACAGGCTACAAGTTCTAACTAACAAGACTCTTTTTTGAATTCATTTTTTTTCCTATCTCATGTAAGCATCATCTACCTCATTAGATGGTATGCCATCAAGATACAATTCTCATAAAAATGGCTCTAACAATACCTTCGTCCGTCCATAGGGATTCGTAGCGCATATAGGAAATTCCTATGTGCATCAATGGTACCACTTTTGGCCAACCATAAACAGTTGCTGATGATGAAAATACAAGCTAAAAAGTTCAGAATAATTTAGTGGTGTCAAATGAGCTGAGCGGCTCGTCGGCTCGCCTGCTCGGCTCGTACTGTTCACGCCCACGAGCCGCTCGGACTCGTCAAAAAACGAGCCCGAGCACGAGCCGAGCGGGCTGGTGGGCTAGACGAGCCGAGCCCGCTCGGCTCGTCACTATTCACGAGCGGCTCGCCGAGCCGCTCGTGAGACGAGCCTACGAGCTAGACTCGTGGGCTCGTCTAAACAACGAGCTC